AACTAAATGTTAGTTTTCCCTCTTGTCTTCTTGTTGGGCTTCTACTCAAGTCCCAGCTGCCCAGCTCAAATATATATTCTGTACCCACATAGTACTAATACCTGTACTGTTACACATCTCAAGTGTCAGGGCCTGTAGGCAACTTTCAAGAGTGTAGGTTCAGTATAGTTGTAGGTGTAGGAACCTAAATGCTGAACTTGAATGAAATCATTGAAGAATATGAGGTAGAAACAGTATAAGCCACAATTAAAAAGCCTGGCATGGGGGGAGGCTAGCAGGTGGCGTGGTGGTTAAGGCACTGGACAATCCCACATGGCAGACCATGGTTTGAGTCCTGGACTTGATGACTTGTTTTCTCACTTTCTTTCTCTCTTTCTCTCTTTCTCTCTTTCTCTCTTTCTCTCTCTCTCTCTCTCTCTCTCTCTCTCTCTCTCATCAAATTAAAAAAGTAAGTGAATAAATAAATCATTTGAAAAAAGCCTGACATGGAAAATGGAAAGAAATTTAACAACTAAGTGAGGTGACAGATTTTTAAAAAGTATTGTTATAAGACATTTATTATACTTAACTATGTTTGAAGAAGTCATGGAGAAAAACTTAAAAATATAAAAGGAGCAAAGACTTAGAAGAATTAAAAGAGGTTAAGAGGAGCTAGGTTTGAAAACATGGAGTTTTTTTTTTTTTTCCTACCTGGGATGAATAAATGTTTTTTCCTTATTGCCAGAGGGCATGTGGGCTTGCCACAGAGACAAGAGAAATCATGTTCCAAAAACAAATGGTCATGCCACAATCCTTTTCCCTTCCTTTCTTCTTCCTGTCAGGATTTTAGGCTTACCTGCTACCACACATGTTTTCAAACCTCTGGGGCTGGGACTTGAACTGTAATCAACCATGTGGGATCTAGCTCTCTATACATAGCACTTAACCACTGTGCTATAGGGCTGCCCATAGATGAAATTTTAAGTCCATAAACAAGGGGAGGTTGAGATGAAATTGAAGGCATAACAAGAATTAGGTGGCTCAATATATGACAGGGGCGCAAAATATCCCCTCAGCATGCTGTAATTACCATAAGGGCCAGCTCAAAAGAGTCACTGTTAAATATTTGGGAACTTAAAAAGCTATGGGAATATTTACACTACAGAAATGGGCAAGTGCTACAGATTGTGACTCTTCCTACCCCCAAAGATTACCTAGTTTACCAGCACTTACTAGTACGCTTCAGAACTTCCATGAAGGCTTAGCCAAAATGCTTCCCGATCTTAGTGAAGACCAGGTACAAATTAGAGAGCATGATTATATTTTGAACTTTGTGTTTCTGTCCAGGAAATTTCTGCTATAAAACAGAATAGTTGGCTAGGGAGTGATCCAACAGATGGAAATGAACAAAGTAGACATTAGAATAATGATCTTAAGATATTTTAGAGAAAAATAAAGTGCTGACCGTACCATGGGAAAGGGATAGAGACAATTTAGTTGTAAACTAATAGAGAAATAATGCACTAAGCAAAATGGAACAATTATGATAGAAGATGATTCTGGTTGGAATATGGAGTAATTGTCATGAGAAATAGAAAAGATATCAGGCAAGGGAGTTGTTCAGAACTCTGTGTAAAGAGTTCTACAATGTGCTCATACTTATAGATAGAAAACAGGGTGGGCCAGCTGGTGGTGTGGTGTTAAGACGCTGAATCCCACATGACTAATAGCATGATTCGAGTTCTGGATCCGACAGCTTGAAAAGTATACTGGGTACATGTGTGTGCATGCCCAAAATCCTGAGAGGAGAAGTGGAGGAGATGGGATTATGGCACAGCCACACCCTGTGGCAGGGTCTTGTGGGGGTAGGGAGGATGCTTTCTCACTTTCCTTCTTTCTCTCTTTCCTCCAGTAAGTACATCCACACTCCAGGAAATTAAAAGAGGGAAGTATACTGTAAAGGAAGGCATTAAACTGTACACCTCAAAGATCTAACGGGTAGTTAGATTTTTAGTTACTTAAGAACAATATAGGCGATACAGTGTGGCAGAAAAACATGAGCCAATGCAGAGGACACAGGGAGATGAAGATGGTGGTAGGATCCAGCAGATACGTTGGTGATATGGTGAGGGCAGATGCACATGTTTGAAATAATGAGAAACAGAGGGTAGGTGGTAGTTTATACACTGAAAGGCGGCCAGGAGAGCAAAGTTGTACTCATTCACTGAGTCTAGTAAAATCGATTACTGCCATAAGAATTTCAGTACTCATAGCAGAAGTAATCCTCACTACTAGTGAGGCTGGAGACTCAATGGCTATCTGCAGTGCTGAGTTACCCAGAGGCAGCCCAGAGAGGGCCTCAGGGACATATGGTCTATGCTTAAGGCACAGCAAGGACACTAAACAATGAAGAGAAAAAGCTTTTTAAATAACTCAATATGAAGTATTTCCAAAAATGCACCAAAGACGTATTCATGAAAGGTAAATCATAGCATTGTTGTACTTCCTTATACTTACTTCATGGGTTTTATATTATTTTATGTTTAATTATATGGCATGCGTTGGGTTGGAGGGGAGTGCTTAGAGTACAGGCATTATAACCTTTTATTTACTCTAAAGGCCCTATTTGGCCCTGGTTGTCTTCAAAGTAGATAGTAATTTGTTGACTTTTTTCAGAATAAGGCAAAAATATCTCTTCTGAATATAAGAATCTTCATACAAGTGAGGTTTTGTCAAAAAGAAAATATTTGAGGCCTAGTGGGTTAAGGGAGTTGGATCCCACATGGCTGACTGCAGTTTGAGTCTCAGTCCTGGTGCCTTGAAAAACATGCTGGATACATGCATGTCATTGCTGAAAGTCCTGACAAGCTGGAAAAATGAAGAGACCAGGGGGTGATGCTTTGTACTTTTTCCCCTCTCTCTGTCTCTCTCTGGTGAGCACATCCACCCTCTGTGGGGGGGGGGGGAATAAACACAGCAAAACTGGATTTAACTTTCCCTGTTAATACACACATTCAAGGACCAGTTTTTAGATTAAAATTTTTTCCAGTTTTCCTTTTTCTAGCTTTTTGGAGTTTTGTTTTTGTTTTTGTTTTTGTTTTTGTTTTTGTTTTCCAGAGGGTGCATAGGTGTGTGGGGCAGGGTAGGGAGGAAAGGAGAGAAAGAGAGAGAGAGAAAAAAAAAGTACTCTTCTATGGGGCCAGGTCATGCTACAATTCTTTTTCTCCAAGTCTCTCTCCTATCAGGATTCTGGGCCACTCCCACGCCTGCCATGTAAATCACTACTAGGGCCATGACTTGAACCCTGATCTGTAGTATTGGAAGGCCTAGCCAACATAATCAGACCAGAGAGGGAAACAAAATGCATTTGAAAAGGAAAGGAAGAAGTGAAATCATTCCTATTTGCAGATGACATAATTATATATATATAAAATCCAAAAGAATCCATGAAAATACTCTTGGAAGTGACAAATGAAGTCAGTTAAGGTTGTGTGATACAAGATCAATATACAAAATTCTATAGCATTTCTATACACCAGTAATGAACAGACTAGGGCAGAATTGAAGAAAATAATCCCATTTACAATAGCCACAAAAAAATAAAAAATACCTAGGAGTAAACCTAACCAAAGAGGTGAAAGACCTCTCTAAGGAAAACTGAAAAAACAAATTGAACATGATACAAAAGAAAGTGGAAAGATAATCCTTGTTCTTGGATTAAAGAGTCAATATAATTAAAATGTCAGTTCTACCCAAATTAATTTACAAATTCAGCTTGATTCCAATCAAACTACCAGTGGCATTCTTCAGAGGAATAGGAAAAAAAAATTAAAATTTGTCTGGAATTGTAGAAGACCCATATTGTCAAGACAATACTATACAAAAAGAATAAAATAGGAGTCACTTCACTGCCTGACCTCAAAATATATTTCAGAGCTATGTTAACCAAAACAGCCTGGTACAGGCACAAAAGCAGGCTCGCAGACTCTGATCAGCCATATCAAACCCTGGCTTCCTTTGCACTGCCTTTAACTGTTCTAGTATAAGGCTAACCTTTGTTTTTATTTCTTAAATTATCACAGCAATGTGTGTGCGTGCGTGTGTGTGTGTGTGTGTGTGTGTGTGTGTGTGTGTTTGAGGTTTTTGCTATAGGGTGTGTGTGCTCACCAGAGAGACAGAGAGAGACAGAGAGACAGAAAGTGAGAAATCACCCCCCAGGAGTGATGGCCATGCCGCAGTCCCTTCTCCTGCGTTCTCCTCTCAGGATCTTGGGCATGCACACACACGCGCCTGACATGTGTTTAAACCACCGGGTTCAGGACTCGAACCACGGTCTACTACGTGGGAGTCCAGCGACATACCCATTACACTAACTGCTGGGCCTGCAATGTGGTATTAATACCATCCAATCGCTAGAAAAGAGCTTGGTTAAGAGCTTGGTTTAAAGAGAAAGAGGGTATTTGTTTTCCATATCTGATCCCCTGACAAATTAGTAGTCCTTGGAGAGTCATATCAACAAACCCTTTCATATTTATTATTTGCTGGTAGCTAATTAGAAAGGCAAGATCTATCTGTTAAGTATTGACCAGCACTACATGAATGCAGTAGCCTGAAACCTGTCTTACCAACAGCAGAAGAAAGGCACATAGCTTTGAAGTTGTATCTATAAAGTCTGCTAATTTTAAAAATTCTGGTTCTATTTTTAGCTGTACAAATACATATCTTTTTACTTACAAAATAAGTCATTAGTGTCAAGCAGTGTTTACAACTTCCTGAAACCAATACAACTTGCAGCTGTAATTCTGTCTAAACTCCTCTGGACTCTAATTCACTTTGTCTTATATAAACCCAAGAGAATATTGTACTTACTGTTTTCTAGACCTAAACAGATATATATGTCTTTATCTTCTACTATTTTTTGTGGTGTATTTGAAAAGGTCAAGAAATAGAATCATTTTAGGTCAGTCTACATATTTCCACATGAATCAAAAAAAAATCTTTTTGTCCTGTTCATGTTCCAGATACCATACTCCTCAGCATCTCCTGGGAATTATGTAGTAAGTACATTTGGTTTTGTTTGCTCATAAGAATTGATGTTACGTTTTATTTGGGCAATAAAATAGTTGTCCAGATGTTAAGAAGAGCCCCTGTGTATTGGCCAAGAAATGAACATCTTGAGTTGTTTCATCTGCCAACCTCAGTACATATGTTGATGTTCATTAGTGAAACAGTTATCAATCTGGCCAGAATTGCCCTGTGTACTGTGTTTTATTTCAGCATATGTTTCCAGAAACCAGTACAATACACTATCCAATCATGTAGAGAGCCATCCCCAGTTACACAGGGATATGCTTGAATTTGCAGTCCTCCAAGAAAATAATCGACTCTCCCTCTCCAACCCTACCCGCCACAAATATAAGTCGTTCAACTTTCTCCCGATTATGCAGTGAATTAGATAGCAAAACAATGACTAGTCATTTGGCGAGGCCTTTTAGTTTTGTCTTTCTTAGAAATGAGAACACTTATTTTTCTTATTGTTTAGTACATGTTAAAATTTTCCAATAATTTTTGTAGATGTGAAATTAAATTAATCTTAAAAATGACCTTTTAATCACCATCACATTATGATCCTTGCTACATCTCAAGGGCACTATAGAAGAAAGTTTATTACAATATTTAGGAAAGAAATGCCTAACAGAAAATCAAGGATAAAAGAGTAAAAAGAAAAATCTTTCCTGAAAACATTTTTAGAGGTGCTGGTGGCTAATTGAAGTGAGAAAAGAAGACTGCAGAAGAATAAAATCATAGAGAATTTTTCTATCTGTGAAAATATTATTTTATTAACATGGTGAAATTTACACACAGCTTTGGACCTGTGGACTTAGTAGTGTTCAGTGTTCCTATAATCTATACAAGCTAAAAAAGTCTAACTTTCTTCCCATTTTCTATGAAACAAAAATGAAAGTAAGAAAATTTTGATGAAACCTATTTTTTTCTTCAAGTCACTTAAAAGTAAGCCTGAGATGTATTTTCATGAAATTATAGACCTGTATTTGAAAGAAATTTAAGTTGTTTAACAAGTAGCAAGTACATATATTACTGGAAATCATTAATAGATTGTATCTACATACTTAGAATGAAGTACAGATTTAGCCACTTAAGAATTAATTTGGGCCAGTAGTGGTGTAGAGGTCAGGGCAGCTGTATCCCACAAGTCTGAGTATGTGGTTCAAGTCCAGGGACCCAGCATCTTGAAAATCATTCTGGGCACATGTGTATATGTGCCCAAAATCCTGAGAGAAGAATGAAGGAGAAGGAATGGAATTGCAGAGTGGTAATTCCCCCTGGGAGGTGATTTCTCACTTTCCTTGTCTCTCCTTTCATGATGAGCACCCATGGCCTATAGCGCAAAAAGAGAGAGAGAGAGAGAGAGAGAGAGAGAGAGTTAATCTGATCACTCTATATACAGCATTTCAAAACTTCTAAATCCCATTGCCTGAATTATGCACTTGAGGTGTTGGAAATTAACTTTAAAATGATCTAATCTCCATTTCCATTTGATTATGTAGTCACAACCTTAGTAATCCACAACATTTAGTCAGCATTGCTTCTCACTTGTAACTGACCTAATAGCTGAAGTTAGAGAGCTCTGAAAGTGTTGCAATCGATACTGACAGAAGAAAGAAATCACATGAAAGAATTTTTGAAAAATACAAATCTCTAATTTATTTAGATTATCTTTTGGTTTTTAGTTTCCTCTAAAAACCAATAATAAAAAGTAAGAAATTTAAACTAAGTAACAAATACACATGAATTATTTCTATTTTATAGATTTGTAATAGCCCTATTAAATGGTTTCTCTTTAACCTCATTATACCTGATGTGATTAAGTCATGAATAATAAATCAGTGTCGTTGCAGACTCATTGTTTTTGGAAACTTGTCAAAACAAGCTCAACATATTTAAGCTAAATTATGTTTTGCATAATACTGAAACGATTATGCATTCAATGATAATAAATGATGGAGAAAATATTTTTTTCTGTTGTATTCAAATTGGATTATTATTGAGATAAGTCTAACTTTTCTTCTGTTTTCTTTATATTGTTTAGTGAAATGCCTTATTTTTACTGAAATTTTGTATAATTATTTAGGGTCCTCCAGGAGGTGGAGGGCCACCAGGAACACCCATCATGCCTAGTCCAGCAGGTATTGTAATCAAACTAGCCGCATGGGCATTTGATTATTAGAATAAAATCACTAAATATTACATTGTCTATGAAAAAAAGGTTAGTAGTATTAATTATCTCATGATGGTTCCAGAGTAGAGTAGAGGTACCAGGTAGGAAAAAGTGATGTTCTTAAACTACTGTTATCCAATTGCTTAAATATTCAGAAAATTCCTGTTGTGTGGGTAACAGATTTAATCAGAATGAAAACTGTGTAAATCTTTATGAATTGCCCAATAAATTACCAAATTTAAAGATTCCTTGTAAATAAGAAAAAGGTCCAGATCTTACAGCCTAAAAATTCCACATAAGTAAAATGTGAACTAGTTGATCTACAGGTTTAAAATAGCAAATCAGACCCACCACATTTACTGTCTTAGTAAGATGTGTTTACAGTCATAATTACCCTGTGTGTCTATAGGTATTTATTAATTAGTTAATAAGTTTACTGTGTAGTGGGAAAGCTTTTTCTTTAATTTTCTAAACTAAAATATACTCCAGGATTTTCATAATCTTTCTATATATAATTATTTTAGTTATCTTTATTCTTTCTTCTTTAGATTATTACAGACTATATATATAGACGATTAAATGTGTTATATCATAGGGACTCTAATAGTAGGAGCTTAAATTGGCATAGTCCTCCCAGAAAAGTGCTCTGATATGTTGCCTTAAGAACTATGAAAAAGTTTATGCCATTTGACTCTTTAATCCTAATAACAGAAATTATTAGAGGTAGAATCTAAGATTTGTGTAGAAGAATTTCCATTTGTTATATTCAGTAATGAAATAGTAGACACAATTGTCCTACCTACTTACATTTTAGTGAAATTATTAAATGATGGAATATAATGTTGCTATTAAAATTATTTTCAGAATCTTTAATAACATGGAAAAATAAATGTTGTAATTCAATACAAAATGACCATGATTTTATTTTAAAATGTATATAACACAAAAATTGAGAAAGTAGAAAAAATAATAGGCTAAAACTTTAACAGTGATTCCTTCTGGATAATTAAATAGATGGAAAATTTTTATAATCAGAAATCATTTTTAATATGTTTCACTGTTAAATTCATATGTTCTTAAGGTCTGCTGAAATCAAAGCTAGATGGAAGCTTGAAATTAAGTATCATATTAATCATATCAAATAATGGTTTTAAAATTTTGAACCTTTTAAACTTAGAAAATGCATAAACTTATAATTAATACACAGTTTTACTTTGCTTCCAAAACTCTCTGGAATATATTTATAAATGTCTCATAATCTTTGTCCTCAAAGCATCTTCACTGGAAATGAAACAATTTGTTGAGGACAGAATTATAGACATGATCATCTCACCCACATTTATATTCTTATATGGTGAGGCTGATGTTTAATTTATGGTGATAGCATGCAATTAATAAACACTACAAGATGAAGAAAAAAATTTTAGGAACACTAAACATTGCAGATAACTAATCTTAGCATCTTTTCCTTTTAAGCCAGAAATTACTAGAAAATTATATTTTCTTAGTCTGTTGTAGACTCTTAGTACCAATCCTGAATGATGATTATTCCTGTGATATTAAGACCACTACCCCTCGGTAAAAAAGGTGTCAGAGATTGATTTTATTGTAAAATTTTTCTGTACATAAGAAGTCCAGTCATTTCCTAGAAAATGCTTACCCTAGTCCACTCCATATTTTTTTCCTTCAAATGAAGTTATATTCTAGAATGGTCTTGAAAATAATTTCATTATTTCTGCATATATAAAATATATAGCCCACTTTCCTTTGACCAAGAGTAAAGTTAATATTGTTGAAAAACCATTTGATGGTTTGCATATTTAAAAAATAATCCAAGATTTCTGAAAGATAACTTTGTGTATTTATTTTTATATGTATTTAGAGTTTATTCCATTGGTTAAATCTAAATTAACAAATATTTGTTGTGTAGTACACAAGATAAGTAAGTTAGACATGGTCACCTTACCTTTCTCATAGAGCTTATTATTAGGTCATCAAGAAAGTCATGATGTGTATTTCTATTTTTTTCTATGCAAAAATGCATCATGACTTTCCTGACAACCCAATATATCCTAGCTGGAAGTAGGAGGGAAGAAAAAAACAAATCAAATATGAACTATAATGCAAGGTGGAATTAGGGACAGACGGACGCTCTTGCATGTGGAAACGTAAGAAAAAGAAACTTCATAGAAGAGGTAGCAATGGAAACGGGCCCCAACAGTGAGCAGAATTTTGATAGGGAGACGGTACTTGAAGAAAGAAAGAACAAAAATCTGGAGGTCGGTTATGTTCAGGAAAGAAAAAGTAGCCTTGATTCACAGGAATAGAGAATACATGAAGGTGTGAAAAGAATTAAGACCACAAAAGCATGTGGGGACCTTATTTAGCATGAACTAATAGGCATCAGCCTAAGGTGGGCATTCCAACTTTTCAACATTATGCTGTATTCATTCAAAAGTGTCTACGTTGATAAATCTCTCTGTAGTCAACTAAAAAATCACATCATAGCACCTACTGCATAACTGGTACATACTAACATAATAATCTTATTAATATCTAGTAGTAATCACACAGCAAGAGGAAAAATAATGCCCTATTTCCCATTTTGGGGTTGCAGTCATGAGAAAACAAATTATTTTCTTTCCTTCTGTCTTGAATCAGTACAAAATTTTGAAACATATCATTTTTCAAAGTAGACCTGCTACATTATGTTTAAGAAAACTATAATTGTGGAAAAATAGAAAACCATAGTTGCTAGTTGATATTTCCTCAATATAAAATATTTGATCTCTCAATAGGTTTTATATTATAAAAATGATACTTAATTAGAATTAGCTAATACATATAAAATACAAATGTTTAAAATGTACTATAAAATATTATATATATTTATATGGATATATATCACAATTATTTTTATTATAACAAACATCAAATAAGTTTAAAAATTTTAGTAAATGTTATGCTGGGAAAGGAAAGTTATGCAAAAGAAAGTTATGCTGGAAGAAGCTGGCTTTTACTTTAATCAAAAGAATTTTTTATTCCAATTGTATGCCTCTTATTCTAATCTTTCTTTCAGAAAGAGCAAGCTTTTACTAATTATGAGTTAAAAAAAACTTTTTAATATTTGTCTATGGGAAACCTAAGAAAATAATGAAAACTGAAAAGCTACTGAATCTGAATGTTATGAGATTTTTCTTATATGTGTACATATATATTTATATGTATTTATAATATATATTTTTTCTTTTAAAAAAGAAAAACTACTGTATGTTTTTAGATTTTTAAAGTAATGTTCCTTTGACCTCAGTTACTGAAGTGATTATGCCCTTTTATATCTAATTTATGACCTCAGCATGATGATTTTTTGGAGCCAGATAATGACTGCCAGGTATTTGTGACCGTTGGTATGACAGCCTCCATGACTGGGTAGCATCAGCAGGTCATGTATATGTGCAGGTCATTTTTGAGTATTATGTTATGCCTATTGGGTATTGACTATAAAGCTATATATTAATTAAGTAATTTTTTTTCAGATTCAACCAACTCTGGAGATAATATGTATACTTTAATGAATGCAGTACCTCCTGGACCTAATAGACCTAATGTAAGTATTCTTTTTATTTTATGTTTTTATTTCTTTTGGAATGTTTTTGAAGACCTCCCAACTCCAAAGTACCCACCATTCCTAGATATTGTCTAAACTTTTTACTTTATTATGCAAGAACTTATTGTATATCTGAAAAATCAAAAATTTTGCAAGCTCTAGGTTGACAAAAACAAAATATAAAATATATATAAAATATTTTATATCAGTACAATTTAAATGTAAAACTGAACCTGATCAATTATAAAATATCAATGTCTCATTGTAGCTTAAATAATTAATAATATATACTATTTGGAAATGACAGGTTATCTGTAATTACCTATGTTAACTTAATTTTTAATTTGCTTCTATGTGATTCTTTTTAATGCTGATCAACTTGAAAATAAATTAGGAAGTTGGATATGCTTTTTTTCTTCCAGTTACAAAACGTAAGGCTTAAATATGGAACTGAGGCAGTTCTATGGGAAGAATTTGGATACTTTTAAAGTATGGTCTGATTTTCCACAAAAGCTCACAGGAAAATATTGATTTATGATATTAGGCCTACTTGTTAGCAAAATGTTTATACCAGATTATAATCAATACATGTGTACATAAACATTAATATATTAGTACATATTAATATATTAGCATAATATAAATTAATATAGTGGTAAATATTTTAATACAAAATTGGTACATCTTTAGTATCTAAAATTAAAGAAAAATTAAGTCATATATATGTTATATGTTAAACTGAGCAAACATACATGCCTATAGTCTTAGTGTCTTTTATGACATTGTGGAGGACCAGATAAAATTAAGTTCAGACCAAATTAAATTCACAGACTATTGGGCTTACCAGCACCAGTTTCTTAGCCCAGATGGATACTATGCTTTCGATAGCTGAATAACAAGAGTAAGTGCAAAGTCAATCTCTTTGACTTATCAGTGAGAATATATATGTATTTTCTAAGTTGTTTACTGAAAAATCAATCCATGTACTTTTAGATACCCAACTTTAGCAGCAGAATTGGCATTCTCCTGGAAAATTTGTAAGCATGCCATTTGTATGCCCACAGTGAGAGAAAACCATCTTATTCTCACACAGAGGAGATGGTATGTAGGTTGTATGCTAGGAGCAATATTTTACCACTTTTTAAAAGCCTTCACAATTAGTAACAACTTCCACCCCATCTACACACACACACACACACACACACACACACACACACACACACACACACCATTCAGTATTCTTTGCCATACAGCATAAAAGAAATGCTTTATGTGGGAAATTTCAAGACAGTGTTTTCAGGAGACTGTCTCAACTATAAATGTTAGGTAATTATAGACAAGTTGTCTTCAAACTGGGCTCCAGTTTGTTTCCTCAGAAATATTCAAGGAGATGAGGAGAAGATGGAGGAGGCAAGACATGAACTCCTCATCCCAGCCCTACATCTGTACACATATGTTTTGTACTGGGCTTCTAACCTAAAATTTTACTTGGAAAGAAAAGAAAAAAGAATTCCATTGCTTTAAAAAGTGTCATATAGAATCACCGTAGAACGTCTTATCATTGAACTGACAGAATTGAGACTGCCAAGAAGAATTAGCTATATTCAGCTATCTCTGGGGAACTAAATGTATTTAACCCATAAAATGAAATTATTTATTATGTTCATTTGGACAAAGATAGATTGTCTGCTAAGAAAAAATGCTAGTGATGGCATAATGATGTTGAATTATTCTTATTAATAAGCCAATACCTTTAGCAGCTTATTAAGACTCATCTTTGGTTCACGATAAAAAATTTATCACTATCATAGAAGTGAATGTTTATCTTCTCATTTGCTCTGGAATGTGTGTACTTTGTAGTTGAGGATATCTGAAGGAAAAAAAACAGGACATGAATGAGGATTAGCCTGAACATTCAGAACACAGAGAGGGTAAGATGAGAGAGGTGGAGTGGTTCAGTTAGAGAACTCACAGCTGAAAAACACTGAGTAAAAAAAGTCTCCATAACTTGAAAATGAAAGTAATATGTGGCAATGTCTTGTAATGTTAAAGACAGATGTTGTAACTTTGAGAGAGACAACTGTTTTCAGTGGGATCACAGGCATTTTCTTCATCTTTTAAATAGTTTCCAATGGGCCCTGGATCAGATGGCCCCATGGGTGGATTAGGAGGGATGGAGTCACATCACATGAATGGCTCTTTAGGTAAGGATTTCAAATTTGATGTTGAGAATAAATTCAGAATGAAACCTTAGTTCTACATAATGAATATTATGGTTTTTAGAATTCTTCCATATCCAGTTACTTATTTTGAAATGCTTCAACTTTTACTTCAAACCGATAGTTTAAAGTACATTGGTTATGGTTACCAGAGGTCATTTGAAAACAAGAAGCAAGAGAGTTGCTCTAACCTAGTTATATTACAGGTATTTACTTTCACCATCAAAATCTGAGTATTCATGATAAAAGGAGACATCACTGCTTTGGGCATAGATCCTGCTTGTCTCCACTAGAGAACTCCAGTGTTCTCCCAGCGGGTTTGTTTGTCTCCAGAAGCCTGTGGATACATTCTTAGGGAAACTTCAGTTCTCTGCAAGAACTTCTTAATTTTGTTTTTATATTTTAGTGTTTGTCTCCTTTTAAAAATAAAATTGGGAGTCCTATTTGGATAATTCCTACACTGTCTTCATGAAGAAGCTTATTTCAATTCTGTGACTAAAGGTTAAATCTTCATAAGTGATGCCTTCTTACCAAATGAATTCAGATATCTGCAAGATGAATAGAAAGTTTTACAATTGTGGAAAATAGAGACAACTGTTACAAAGTTGGCTAAGTCATACAGTACACTACATGTTTAAATAACATGATCATAAACTAATTCAAAAGTTGACAATAGGAGGTATATACGGATTTTACTCCCTCAGTCTAGGTCAGAAAATACCTCCCTCTGATACTTTGAGCATCTATATAACTTCAATAATCAAAAAGTTATTTACAAATTATTTGCAGCACAATAATCAACTTCCGTGCTTTTAAGGATATATATATATTTTTTTTTTTTTACCTAGATTTCAGTCTTGATTTTTATTACTGTCTAATTGCAGTAGCCACTAGCCAATTTTATTTTTAAATTAAATAAGATTTAAAATTCAGTTCTTCAGTTGCACTGCCACGTGGCAGGTGTACCTGTAGCTAACAGCTACGTTACTAGCCATGTTAGACAAACATTTCCATTGTCACACAAAGCTCTACTGGACAGCATCATTCTAGGTTTTATTTTCCAATTTATTGTAAAATAATTCAGTTTCCAATCCTTTTATTTGTAAAATTATTCACAAAAAGATGATGTTTGGTCATAGGTTGAAGGCTCTCAGTTTTAGTGTTTTCTTTACTAGAATTTTCAGAAGAGTTTCAAATATGCTTGCATCTGGCTCATTACTCTCTATAATGAACATTATTGTACATGTTTATATTAGACATGATTGCGTATATGCATTCTGTATTTAACAATTTGTTATGCCTGTTTATTTACAAATTAATCATGTTAATAAGCCTAGCATTACTTGTGATGTTGACTGAATGCTGTGCTATTAAAATGTGCCAAGAAAATGAATTGTTTAAAACAGTTTAAAGCTAATATTGTGGCAAAGGTCTAATTATTGTTTTTATTACCTAATGTATGATTTAGTTTCTTACATACCAAAAGAAATTAATATTGATTATTCACTTCTCCAAGGATCAAAATAGAAATATAAGGTTATACTTTGAAGACATTTTTAGTCTTAATGGATTACCACAAATATTGATTGCTGTCAGTTTTTTAATATCATTAAGAATACTTGGCTTTTGGCTATTACAATACAGTATGGCTCAGAATATTGTCACATATTGTTGTATATATCTGTTTTATATTTTTATCTCCTATAGCATCATTTTCAGAAAATACATAGTAAGATCGACAACAGTATATGTTACATACTTTTTAAATTTTTTACTTGACTAGGATATATAAATGATCTCTAGTATTTCAGTTTCAGAAATCTCTAAACAACGATTTTTTTCATTCTGTCATTTCAAAAAAATGATTGGGAACTAGAGGTAGGATTCCATGCATTGCCCTCAGATGGTACTGATCATCATACAATATCAAAGAAAAAGGAGTTTATTAAAATTCAAAACCTGGAGAGATATACACTAGAAATGCATATAGTATACTGCATTTCCTTAAAAGAGTATTTAGCATATAAATGAAATCTTACCTAATAAAGTATTTCATTTCATATTTTGCTTCAGGCTCAGGAGATATGGACAGTATTTCCAAGGTGAGCATTGTGTATTATCTGCGTTGGTTTTTACCTGTATTTTATTTCACAAAGAACTCTCATTAAAATTATTAGAGTAGCCTTATGAGTTTTATTCTCTAACATTAATTTAAAGATAGTAGAGTAGGTATACTTACATGGACAATAAAGATGTTAATATATAGGGCCGACGCTATAGCACAGTAGCTAAGCACTGTGCTTCAGAAGCCAGATCCCACACAGATGGCCGCAGTGTGAGCACTGGCTCCAGCAGCTTGAAAAACAGACCTAGCACATTTGCATGCATGCTCAAAGCTATGACAGGAGGGAGAAATGGGATGAAAAGGATTGTGGCATGACCACGCCCCACTCGAGGATGCTTTTGCTCGCTTTCTCTCTCTCAGTCACTCTCTGCTGAGCACATATACCCTTTGGCACATTTATATTTATTTACATATATATTTATATTTATATACACATTTGTATTTATATATATATTTATTTAACTTCCACATGGCCAACTGCAGTTAGAGTCCTGGACCCAACAGCTTGAATATCACACCGGGCATGTGACTGTGGATGCCCAAAATTCCAGGAGAATGGAGGGTTGTGGCATGGCCATCCTCCCAGGGGGTTGATTTCTGACTTTCCTTTTCTCTTCTGTCTCTCTCTCTCTGGCGAACGCACATGACATATGGCAAAAAACCTAAAAAAAAAAAAAAAAAAAAGTATTTCTGGGACCTGCAGGTGGCATGGTGGTTGGGGCACTGGACTTCCACATGACTGACTATAGTTCCAGTCCCAGACCTGGTGGCTTACTTTCTCACTCACTTCCCCCATCTCTTCCCCCATCTCTCTCTGGTCAAATTTAATAATAATAATAATAATAATAAATTACCACAATTTTTATTAAACGAGTATTTCTAAACATGCTAAGGTTGCTAATTAATCACATTTTGATGTTACATATTCATAAAGCAAATTAACAGTTTAGATCATTTATTTATTTTTTTTAGAGAGAGAGATTTTTTGCTATAGAGCACACATGCTCACGGGAGAGACAGAAAGTGAGAAATCACTCCCTGGGGGATAGCCATGCCACAAGGTCTTCTCCTCCATTCTCTTCTCGGGACCTTGGACATGCATGCACATGCACCTGGTGTGTCTGGGACTCTAACCATAGGTAGAAGACTCTCAGTTTTGGTGTTTACTTGACTAAAATTTTCAGAAGAGTTACGAATATGCTTGCATATGGCTCATTACTCTCTATAATGAGCTCCCACGTCAACCATGTGGGAGTCCAGCAACAGAACCATTATGCCATCTGCTGGTCCCAAGTTTAAATATTTTTTAAAAAATGTGAAGATGTCTAGAACAATGTAAGAAGAGGTAAATTTGCAAACATAGTCATTGTATGTCATAAGACCATTGTGTTTATACAATTCAGTTGGTCTTTTGAACCTTCATTAGATAATGTTGGTATCTGCAATCATTATTCTAGTTCCCAAAATAGAGGTAGAATGTGATTAAAAGAAAAGTATATTAGTTCAAGTAGGAAAGTGAGCCTTCCTACATTATTCCTATAGGAATATGAGCATCTAAAATTAGTTCTTTGCTCAAATGCCTTATATTTTTTGAAGACTAATACCTAAATTACACTTTTTTAGGTCACGATGAATTTAAAACAGTTCTCTGTGGGTCTAATATATTTAGAATGGATGATAAGAATTCATTAGTAGCCACCACTTGAATGATTCTTAGAAGTCTGCTTTGTATTAGTAAATAGAGAATTCATTAAAGAATGACTTTGTTTTTAATTTTATTTCTAATTTATATTCATGTTTAGTAATGTAAAATTCCTGATGCCAAGGAAATAAAGTGAGATTGATTAAGCTATGAAACATTTCAAATTAAAACTTCAAGCTTAAAAAAAAGTTTAATTGAAATTTTGACATTATACCTGTAGTATCCTGGTTGCCTGGCCTCACAAGTTCTATAGGTACTTTGAATATCTGTGGTTAGGAAAAAAGCAGAAAGGTCTTTTTCTTGTTTTGAGAGAGTTTTTTGCTGTAAGGTGCATGCATTGTCAGAGAGACAGAGACAGAAAGCAAGAAATCACGCCGTAGAGTGGATAGCTATGCTGCCATCCCTTCATTCTCCTCTCAGGACTCTCTGCATGCATGCACATGTGCCCGGCATGAGTTTTAAGCTGCTGGGTTTGGGACTCAAACCACAGTCAACTACATGGTGAGAGTCCAATGACCATTATACCATCTGCTGGTCCCAGTCTTTTTCTTTGTATTAATCAACAAATATTTATAATGGGCAGTAGCTTACCTCTGTGAGAACTAGAGTTCATGAAGCGTTTGCAAAGTATGGCTCCTGGGCCAGCTCAGAGGTATGGCGGTGACATGCAGCTTGAGTCTTGCTGGATCCACGTGGGAGATCACTGGCTTGGCTCTCCTGGTTGACCTGTATGTGCCTAGCCCACTCCTGTGATCCTGGCTGACTGGGAAGTCTGGGGTGGGCAGGAACTGCAGTGCACACATCTACCCCCACTCCCCATCCTCCTGAACACACTCTCTCTCAAAGGAAATAAACTAAAAAAAAAAAAAAAAATGAGATTGTATAATTGTATTAGTGCCTTCTTTCTGGGAGGTGCCTTGCATATCACACAGCCGTGAAAGTTTTAGCTATCTCAGGTAATTCTAGCAAATGAGTTAAGCTGTACTGTACTCAGTGAAATTTCTAATGTCATGCTTGAGAAGCATTTTCTTATATCTAGAGATGACTCTTAATCTTACAAAAGTGGAATCACCATGCCATCTTTCTAAAAATTCCACTAACAGCTGATAGCCTTTTATATTAGATAAATACAAACAAAAATCTCTATAGGAAAGCCCTTTGTAATTTATAAAGCACTCTAAAATCTTTAAATGCAGAGTCATAATGATGAATTAAATGTCAATCTTCCAATCTGCCCTCATCAGATCTATTGCATTCCTTCTGTGCTTGTTTTCCATTCCTACTCTTGGATATAAGCTTTTTCCACTATACTGTGCCCACTGCTGATAACATTCTCTTGCCTAATGATATATTCCTTATTTGCTAAGGATTAGTTGATCACCTGTTGTGTACTTTGGTATACTGAGTATGCCTTTTGCGCTATGGGGAGATATAAAAGATATGTTCAAACACAAACGATTGTGAATAAATGTCCTCAAATGATTTATAGTTAGAAGTTTCTCTGTTCAATGTTAATACACCCAGGTGTTATGCTGAGCTCTGAAAATCCAGAGGTACCTAGGATATGGTCTCTGCCCTCAGGAAGCTCAATATAACTGAGGACACCAAACAAAAATAATAAGGAAAAACATTTACAAAGTAAAGTCTGTGTACTTTTAAATTAATGTGGGGATTATCCCCTAAGTAATAAATATACTGCTTAATGAGGGAGGAGGGTCTTTAAAAAGGTCATGGAAGATGCATGTTATGGAAAAGCTATGCAAAAAAATTGTTTGCACCCAAAACTGTCTTACACAGTAACCCCATCTTCCATGAACTTTTTGAAATCCCCTATACTGGAAACGACTAGTTGTATCTCCTAAGCAGCCCATGTGCATACTGCCTGGTCTCTGGGTTGTCCAACTGCAGCTCTAACCCAGCTGCCCTACTGGCAACTGTCACGCTATAGAAATGGTTCCTCTTAGAAGCAGCGTCATGCATGTTACATGAGGGCACTTCAGAGAGTTTGTGGGAGATGAGATTACATGTTTATTTTGGTGCAAAGGGTTTTTTTTTTAATTCATGCATAGTTTTCTCATAATGTACATTTTTCATGAACTCTTTGAAGACCCCACTCACAGATCCCTTTCCCCAAATCCTTTTTTCCCCAACTCTTTCACTCAGAGCCCATTTTTTTTTTCAGGTTTTTACTCTGAAATATGCATAGTCACTAGCTCCACTTTTCCCAGCTATCTCAAGATAATTTCTTGGGCCAGACTCATAGCACTGCAGTTAGCACTGTGCATAGGGCACCAGCTCCCACATGGCCAACCGTGGTTCAAATCCTGCCCTGGTAGCTTAAAGAACATGCCAGGTGCATATGCCTGTGTGCCCCGAATCCTGATGGGATAGAGGAATGGAGAGAAATGGGTGCATCATGACCACATCCCAATTGGGGATGCTCTATCTCTCTCCTTCTCTCTATCTCTGGTAAGCATACATGCCCTCTGGCAATTAAGAAAAAAAGATCTTTTACCTTCTTTTTCTCTCTTTTCTTAGGCTCATTCACTTCAATCCTACTTTTCTAATCATTCTTGTTTATGAATCAAAAGACAATCTTCACCATTAGTAATTTTGCTCAAAATCTCTCTTAGGTCTGTAGCTACATCTTCCGAGTTCTCCAGTTAAAATTTGCATTTTGTCAAACACTGGGGTTGAATAATTTTTAGAAAAACTTTTGAGTCCATTTTCAAGCATTATATGGAAGATAAAGAGTACCAAATTGAGAATCAGAAAACCTGATTCCTTTACTGCAAGTTGTGGGAATGTGTCACTTCATTTCTTTATGAATTTCTTTAGCTTTAATTTGAGCTTGTAGCTTAGTCCCTGGCTACTTCAGAAAGTTGTTGAGAATCAAGTGCGAACATATGCCAAGGGCTGCTAAGTGCTGTGCAGATGCTCTTGCTAAATCTCTTCTTCTCATTAGCTATACAATCTCGGGTGGACAAAGCTAGGAGCCCACACCATCAGCTACACTTAACACCGTTTCAGTGACAAAATGAGTTCAAAACTTCAAATGAAGAGTTTCAAAGTTTTTTCTTGTTGCATTAAGGATTACATAGTAAAAATTCATATGTATCTTTCTCAAAGTGCAGAATTCATCTTTAATTTAGAAGACTCTTCTTTAAAAGAATTACTTTATTTGACATTATTTATTTGTTTATTTTAATTTGACCAGAGAGGGACAAAGTGAGAGAGGGAGAGGTAAAGTGAAAAAGCAAGCCACCAAGTCCCGGATTCGAACCGCAGTTGGCCATGTGTGAGTCCAGCACCCTTAACTGCCATGCCACCTGCTGGCCCCTAGACTTTTTTTAATAAAATGTAAAATCATTTTTATCCTTTCTGCAACTGAAAAGTCCGTCATTTAACCAAAGGAATACTATATATCCTCTTGGAGTTGTTTTAGGAGTTAGGGTGGAGAGAAGCACATGATCTGTTTTCTTGGAAGGAAAGCACCTAATGATATTCTACAGTTCACATCTACACTACACATTTATATTTTGAGTTTGGAAAAAAATTGTACGAAAAGACAGGATCTGGTCATATCATGTTTCCTAAGTCATCAGAGGAGGACTCTCTCGGTGAGTAGTACACTACTACTTCCATACGGAAGATCTTGGGCTCTGTTCCCTGGTCAGCCCGTCAACACTGGGTGCATACACCCATGATCTTGGCCGGCTGGGAAGGCCGACAGGGGATTATGGCATGAGACCCTGACAAGTGTGCTTTCTTTCCCTCAGTCTCTATCTCTGTCTCTAATGCTCATAAAAGAAATGCATTTTAAAGATTAAAATAAATTATCAGAGGAGTCCTTCAATCGATAGCTTTCTGACCTCAAGAATCTTGGGTCCGGGACAGCAGTTAGCATAATGGCTATGTCGCTGGAATCCCTTGTAGCCGACCACGGTTCGAGTCCCAGACCCAGTGGCTTAAACTCATGCCGGGCGCATGTGCGTGTGTGCCCAAAATTCCGAGAGGAGAATGGAGGAGAAGGGATTGTGGTGTGGCCATCCCCCTTGGGGAGTGATTTCTCACTTTTGGTCTCTGTCTCTCTCTGTCTTTCTGGAGAGTGCATGTGCCCTATAGCAAAAACCTCTCAAAAAAAAAAAAAAAAAAAAAAGAAAGAAAGAAAAGAAAAAAAAGAATCTTGGTTCCATTTAGAGATCCCACATCACAACTGACAACTATAGAGCTCTCCACCATCATCCCAGGTATGCTGACCAGAATTCCAGCTCAGTTGAAGCCATTGAGAAAACTCTGCTTTTTCTTTTAGAAAACTAGCAGAGTTAAAACAACATTTTATAAACTCATTACCAGCAGCTTGTGAGAAATTAATTCAAAATTCACTTCCAAAGGGCTTAGAATAATTTCGGTATTGTTTTATTCTAATTACAGGTAGAGCCATGATTTCTAAAGTGTTCACTTTTATTATTTGAATATTAAAATTTTCTGAATTTAAAATAGTCTGAGGGCCAACCAGTGGCATGGTGATTAAGGCATTGGATCCCACACAGCTGACTGTGTGGTTCAAGTCCTGAACCTGACGGCTGATCCAATACACCAGGACACATTTGCATGTGTGCCCCAAATCCCAAAGGAGAATGAAGAAGGGATTATGGCATGGCCATCCCCCAAGATGGTGCTTTCTCTCTGTATATATTTCTGTCTCTCTCCAGCAAGCATACATATCCTATAAAAACTTAAAAAAAAGAAAAGATTTGAACAATATTTGAGGATGAAAGAAGGGTTAATAATTTACTAACTATGAGACAATATGGAAGAATAATTGCAAGATGAAATTAGAGTTCAGAGAGTCCAAGAGCGTTAACTGTGGCAGCCAGCGGAAATTATGTGTGTGGTGTAGTGTGTGTGTGTATGTGCATGCTTACACCATTCATGTATGACATAGCTTAAAAGAAAGTTCCCCGCCTATTGTAATAAAAATCCCTTAAAGATGGAATCAGTATAATCCTAACTATATTTTTCTCAAGCTAAATTCTTAGAGTATAAATAGGGACTATAGTACACAGTAACAGAAATGAGAAGTGTAACCGACATGCTTAATGTAACCAAAAGTAATCTTCACTTCTATTCTTTTGTTCTCCCTGTTCCCTGCTTACATAATGCTCAAGTAATCGAGTGCCTTTTCAACCAGCCTAAATCCTTTTTGTGCATCATCTTCGTGCCTTGATGATGAAATCTGCTGGAGGCACTGCGCACAAACGCAGCTGCAGTAGAGAAGGCACTGCACAGCTCCTTACCACCCACCCCCTCCCCTGGCCTGGGCCGGGTTTAGGTCCCACAGTCTCAGCTATTCCTGGGTGCCAACACCAAGTGCACTCTTCAGCCTGTACCTTCATCATGTCGCTCGTAATCACAGACAGCACCGCAGTTTCCGTAAAACTCCCACTGAGGAAATGTATCATTTTCACAATATTTTGAGCAGATTATTTCAGGTAAAAAATAAATAAATACTTTGTCCCATCACTTCATACTTTTCAAATACAGTTCAGTTAGCTGGATAGGAGTAGGTTTCAGAGATCTGATATTCTTTTCATTTTTTAAACTAAATGTCATCCTTTTTTTTTTTTTTTTTTTTAAGTGAGAGAGCTTTTTGTTTTTGGCTATAGGGAGCGTGCACTCTCCAGAGAGACAGAAAGAGAGAAATCACTGCCCAGGAGGACAGCCACCCCACAATCTCTTCTCCTCCATTTTCCTCTCAGGATTTTGGTCAAGTGCATACATGCACTCGGATGAGTTTTAAGCCACTGAGTCCCGGACTTGAACTGCAGTCAGCTATGTAGGGGTCCAGTGACGTAACCGTTACACCATCTGCTGGTCCCAAATGTGTCCTTTTACTGTTCCTCTCAACATCCTTATGTACCCCTAAAACATATAATGCTAAGACACATTTTCTTCATAAAAAATAATGCATGGAAAACAGAAATAATAACCCTCGCAGGATTTTGAAAGTATTTAGATCTTAATTAAATCTTTCTTTAAATTCTAAATATTTTACACTTTAAATTAGAATCATATTTGAAGTTAGCTTAAGTTTCAAAATTATAAATCAAGAAATGCTATATGGCGAAAGCGTAGCAGAGACTGAAAGCAACCCATCTAAATGAGACGCGCACCACGCCCTTGAGGCACCTCATGCCCTGCTGAGGGTGTAAGGTTGCGTCAGGGTGCACAGGACTCATTTCACACACTTCCTTGACTGTCAGGATGTGTCACTTCCAAATGCACCCCTGTATATATGTTAGATTATCTTTTATCCCCAAATTACCAGTTTCTCCATTATGTATAAAATGACAGAAGTCTGCCACTACCGAAAGGACTTAACGATTTGGGGTAAATCTTATGATGTTTTCATACATTTAGTTTCCTTTTTGAGCTAAATCAACATGATCATTTGTTTTTAAACGTTTACTTTTAATTAATAACCTTAGTAATTAATGAGTTCTAAAATAATGCACATTAGTTAAATTTTACTTAACATAGTTTTCAGGATATGAAATTATCCATTTTCATTTCAAAGTACAGTTGCTTTTCTTTATACTTAGGTAACTAACATTTCCAGAGAAAAAATTATCAAAAAAAAAAAATAAAAAAGAATCCCCTTGATGGTTCCCGAGCCCTCGGGGTTCATTGGCCTATAGAGCTCCTATGGACTTCAGAGAAGCTGCGTTCTCAGATCCTCCCTGTGGGGTGCACAGCAGACAAGATACAAGCTGTATTCCACCACCTCATCTACCTGCCTCTGCTTTACAGTTTAACCATATTCTAAAAAAGCACATACTCACCCATGAAATTTTAATGTTTATGATATAACTTGTTTTAGTTAAGTCAAAATCCTTAGAGCAATTTTCTTTTAAAAATCCTAGAACTTATTCTGAAACAGAATATAAAATGGCAATGGCTTAGGAAAAAGAAACTAAAATCTTTCTTCGATTTGCAATAATAAATAAAAAGGTTTAACCCTGAAGTTTGGTTTGTTTTGTTTTGTTAACAAGTCAGTAAATTGGGCCTTGAAAGAGTTCCCTCAGTCCGTTATAATACTCTACAAACACATTTTATATGCGGATCCCATTCCACATTTTCCGCTGGTACTGAGTATCAGATATCTGGGCATGTCTAGAATTGCACAGTAATATTGGGATGAGCACATTTGAATAGAATGTGATATGATGCATTGTTAAGTTAGTGTTTGATTAGATTGTTACTTGCAGGACCAGCAGCTGGCGTAATGGCTTGTGTCTCTGGACTCCCATGTAGCCAACCACAGTTTGAGTCGCAGACCCCATGGCTTAAACTCACGCCGGGCACAAGTGCATTCGTGCCCAGGATCTCGAGAGGAAAATGGAGGAGAAGGGATTGCAGTGTGGCCATCCCCCCTGGGGGGTGATTTCTCGCTTTCTGTCTCCCTGTCTCTGTCTTTCTGGCGAGCGCACACACCCTATAGCAAAAACCTCTCCAAAAAAAAAAAAAAAAGATTGTTACTAGCAACCATTTTATCTTAAGGAACGTTTCAAAGTAACTGTTGTTAAACTAATGATAGGAAAAGGTTCCAAAGCAGTTTACTTTTCAGCTTCTTTTCTTCTAAAAATACATAATGAATTATCAAGTCCCGAGGTGTCTCTCTTGTTCTTAACTATAATTGTAAACTTCCCTTCCTCCTGATGGTTCATATAAAAAAATAGTTTAAGTAGTGTTATCGGTAAAGTACATGTAGAATTAAAGGAAAATGTTGATTAAAGCAGTGACCTTTTAAAGTTTGATTAATAAAATTGCTAAGGAAGTTATGGTTCCATGTGCCTTATCAGTGGGGAGGCTCTCTTCATCACACCCCTGCTGGGAATGTTTTTAAACTCTCCAGAGTTCTAGGAACTCTATAAACTAAGAGTGGGCGATTGAATAAATATTGATTGTGAGACTAAGAAAATAATTGTGGTAGGTTATTTGGGGGTTTTTAGCTTGTTTTCATGTTTTCATTTGGGACAGCATTAGTACTTGTCAAGGTGCAAAAAAATGAGCCAGGATACATGGAGGAAGTCTAACATTAAAATCATGTCAGCCTTGTCCTTAGAGATGCTGCTATAGATTCAATTTGTGAAGCAATGCAGTGCAAGAGGGAAATTAAATGTTTCAGCAATGCTTTGTTTTCTAAATCTTGTTTACAGAATTCTCCCAATAATATGAGCCTGAGTAATCAGCCGGGCACTCCAAGGGATGATGGCGAAATGGGGGGAAATTTCTTAAATCCTTTTCAGAGTGAGAGTGTAAGTATTCCCTTGACTATATTATTGTATACAGATTTTATTGCTAAGCTCTTTTATTTGAATAAATGTATATAGGCATTATGATTGTTGTTCATTTAAAGTTCAATAGGCTGATCTTTTAAAAGTTAGAAAAATCTTTAAGTGGAATGTTTTTGAAAAAAATTTTAACAAACCCTTTTACTATTATGTATACACAGTTACAAAAACCATAATACCAATTTTGTCATGGAGAATATTCACTTTAAAAGAGCAACTGGAAAGAGGTTGCCTTTTGATACTTTTTTTAAGATTGCATGTAACTAAAATGTCACCAAATCAGGTCTGTCCTCCACACTATCTATCCTTAAGACTAAATGTGATCCATAAATATGTCCGTACTTAAATCAGAGTTGAAGGTCATGCTGGTGGTCTGTTAACTTGAGCTGGATACCAGGTCATTTTTTAGTGTGATTATAGCGTGAAGCAAAAACAATGTCAAGTCCATGTCTCCATAGAAGTAGTAGGACCAAAAAGAGAAGTGATAAAATACATTTGTGTATTTCACAATCACTGAGCATTTATCATGTCTAAGGCAATATAGCTGGACACCAGAAACACAAAAAGACAAAATGGCACCTGTTTCACAAGGACTTATCACATATTGCATTGGTTTTAAAACTATTATTTTATATGTTTTATATTACAAACACCTACAGAATTTTAAAAATAGTTTCCCAGAGCCTTCCCTAGAGCTCGTGAATTTTCAGAATTTGCAGGAGTAGAGCTGCAAATACTTGAATGTGAAAAGGCTCCGTTAGTGATGCTGAGACACATTCTTTGCTGCAAACCACTAAATTGAGATACAGAGTAAAAGATTTCAAAACCCAAATTAATTTCATCTTCATAGTACTCACAGCCTCACACATGTATTGCCATCATTAAAATTTATCCTGGAGGATATATCAAACTACAAATAGAATCAGAGAGAAAACTGCCTCCCTTTTACCTAACTCAGCCTTTACCAGGGGCACTCACAGGAGAGTTTGACACAGTGACTCACAGCATGGACATCTCCGTGCAGACTGGCTGCTTCCCAGTGTGCAGCTCAAGACCGAGTGCTCCTTTCTACTGTCCAGCTCGGGCTTTTGCATCTTTTTTCCCTTGTTTTTCATCTTTATTTCTGTTAATAGTAGAAGCAAAATCACATTGATTTTTAGTTTATTTTCTTTGCAGGGAATATGTGCTTAGTGAAGACAAAGATACATACAAAAATTCATATTAAAAAAGTCAAAAGTTGGGACCAGCAGTTAGCGTAATGGCTATGTCACTGGACTCCCATGTAGTCGACCGTGGTTCGCATCCCAGACCCGGTGGCTTAAAACTCAACGCTGGGTGCGTGTGCGTGCGTGCCCAAGATCCCAAGAGGAGAATGGAGGAGAAGGGATTGCGACGTGGCCATCCCCCCTGGGGGGTGATTTCTCTCTTTCTGTCTCTCTGTTTCTCTCTGTCTAGCCAGTGCACGCGCCCTATAGCAAAAAACTCTCAAAAAAAAAAAAAAAGTCAAAAGCTAAGTTTGTCTAATATAGAAACAGAAAAAACATAAGGAACTGTGAAGTTTGTCATAATGCTTAGGATTATGGGAATTATTTTTTAGATCTGTTTTTTTCATGGTTTGCTTTAAGACTGAACAAATTAATTTTCCTATGTTCATTTTATGTAATCAGAGACATTTATATTCTTCTCTGGTAGTTCTTCCAGCCATAAAATGTTATAATTCAGTGGTTGGCAGATGGCGTGGTGGTTAAGGCACTGAATTTGTACACGGCCAACCACTGCTCGAATCCCAGATCTGGCAGCTTGAAAATCATGGTGGGAACATGAGTGTGCATACCCAGGATCCCAAGAAGAGAATGGAGAAGAGGTTGTGGTATGGTCATTCCCACTAAGGGAAGTGGTTACGCACTTCCCTTCTCTCTCTGACAAGCACACACACTCTGTGGCAAAAACTTACAAAAAAAAAAAAAAAGATTGTAGTTCAGTGAGATGTAATTCAGTGCTATGCAGTACTTATTAAGCCTGCTGTATCCAGAGCTCTAGGCTAAGGGCAGGATATTCTGAGATAAATATTAATAGAATACATTCCTACTTTCAAATAATGCAATCCAATAGGAAAAAAAAGTTTATATCGCTAATCCAATGCCACATTAACAAATGCTATAATAGTTATAGCCAAGTGCTTTAAATTATTTTTTAATGATTAATTTGGTATTGGGAAAAAAAAAAGTTTTGAAAGAGTTCCGCATAACTTTAACTTTTATGAACAGGGATAAAAAGAACACTCCCCGTCCCTTCTTCCAGATTTGTCATTGTTGGATGCTCTGATTAACAGTCTGAAGAAGGGTCCCAATTCAAAATAGTCCTCAGAAATCTCTTCCTGAATGCTCTGATTAACAGTCTGAAGAAGGGTCCCAATTCAAAATAGTCCTCAGAAATCTCTTCCTGAAGAGAAAAGAATCAGATATAGCAGGAATCGAAGAACATCTTTGCACAGAAGCACCAGCCTCACCCTTTAAACCCAGCTGGACTATGCACATGCAAAACAGCAGATCCTTTTTGAGTAGGAGCATTTAGAAGAGAGAGCTGTGCCCCTCCCACTCCTGACTCTTCCCACTTCTGGCTCCTCCCACTTCTGGCTCCTCCCACTTCTGGCTCCTCCCACTCCTGGCTCCTGCTGAGCTGCACTGCTAGTCAGAATCAGAAGGTTCCATGCCAGGCAACTGGTAGAGTTGGCAGAAGGCAGAAGCTTCCTGCCTCTTCCTTCTCCTTCCCTCTCTTCTGTCCCTGCCACCACCACCACCACCACCACCACCCCCCCAAAAAAAAAGAAAGAAAAAGCCACAAAAAGAAAAATCATTGGTTGGTGAACTGAGAAACTGCACCCAGACAGTGGAGGGTAGTGCAGCCTTGGAAGCAGCTGTGAGCAGAGCCGGCTTGCTAGAGTCACGTCACTGCTGTGGCTTTCTCTACCATGTTATTACACCACACATGTTTGTTCAGACCTCCTCAATGATCAAACAATGACAGGAGAAAGGAAGAAAGATAGGAGATGCCATGCTGAGAAATGTAAGGCTTTAACAAGTAAACAAGCGGGATGTTTCCAATAAGTTAGCTTTACTATAAGCAAGAAAAAGCAGAACTATTTAGTGAATTCAAAAAGAAAACATTTGCCAATTAACAAATTCTAGTATCTTTAGTGCACATAATTCTTTTGTTAAGAATTATTTATTAAACTTTGTTTGTTTATTATTATTCTTCAGTTTGGCCAGAGAGAGTGAGGGAGAATAAGAAAGCAAGCCTCCGGGTCCAGGACTCAAACTGTGGCCAGCCATGTGGGAGTCCAGCACCTTAACCATCATGCCACTTGCCAGCCCCCTAGTGCACATAATTCTAAAAGGCACATTTTTTGAGCAGCCTGCCTTTGAGGATTTAGCAGTCTTTTTCTCAAAGCAAAACCTGAGCAGCCTGGAAAGGGAGCAAACATCTATGGAGTGCTTATTACGTACCAGGTATTATCCTAGTCCTTTCTCCTCTGTACCCTGTTGTTTTACTGGATTTCCTCCCTGGGCAAACCCAGTCACACGTGCTATTTTGCTTAATTGACGTAGAAACAAAAATGTGCAACCCGAAGGTATAAACGTTTCAGTGCCAAGACGCTTGACAGAGAAAACTGTGAATCCTAAAATGTTTTACTCCTCATCCTGTTTTATTTATTTTTTGTATCACAAGCAGCTCCCTTTATTTCAGGAGACAAATATGCCCCCTAGTGTTCAAATTCTGTAAAATGTTTGTTTTTGAAAGCACAGAACATAAACTCTTAGTTCAAAAAAGTAGTTTTTCACATTTCTCAGGTGAAGAAAGCAGTTGGTCTTACTTCCTGAATTAATTTAGCAAAATATTTCCTCCATGACGCAGAATTATAACCAGGTGAGTAAATGAGATATTTAAAGCGTAGTATTAAATAGGAATTATGAAAAAGGTGGCAGGTCATCCCCTATTGCCCCTACTCCTTCTGTCATTTTCTGCTATTGTAAAGAAATAATGTAAGTCAAAGTATTTTTTTATGTAGTCACATGAATGGTAAACTTATATAGCTCAGAATAACAGAACTATTTTTTGCTTCTCATTGAGAGAATAAAATATTACATAATTGCTTAGACACAGGCTGTAGTGAAATCTAAAGTGCTCCTGAAGTATATAGACAGGGATTGGTGCACATGGTTCAGACATGTCGTGAATTGGGTTCTATGGTACATGAGCCGAGCGTAACAAGGGGAAAATCACAAGCCCATACTGAGGTATGCCATCTCAAAATATATTTTACATAAAAAAATAAGTTGTATATGTTTCAAATAATATCCTTAGGCTTTATGTTTTTGGTAACACAAACAACAGTGCTCTCAGGAGCTTTGTTAGAAGCATTTTATCATCTGGTGGAGGAGAACCAATCTCACAGGATAGTTCTGAGACAGGACAACCTGCTACAACAGCATTCTAGGACAGACATTACAGCATGTCACGGATGTCAACACAACAGTAGGACAGGAGCATGGAAGGGGGCTCAGTACATGCACCATGAATATTTTATGTCTCTAAATATGATACTCCATCTAACACCTCTACTCTTCCTTCACTTTGGGGAAGTGTAAGCCGCTACTTTAAAGAACTGTAATCAATAGCAAAATTCCTTCTTGCTTACAGATTCTGTGAGTTTTTCTAGAAGAAATTTTGTGATTTTCCTTTATTTCATTTAGTTGAAAAGTTTCAATAAAGACAGCTGAAGATAAGCAGTTTACAGCCTTACACGTGCAAATAACACGCTGCTTCTATAGACACTCCAGTATCAGTGCAGCCTATTTCACTGTACCAAATACAGTTACCACATATTTTTTTTTTTTGGAGAGATTTTCACTGTAGGGCGCGTGCGCTTGCCAGACAGAGAGAGAGAGACATAGAGACAGAAAGCGAGAAATCGCCCCCCAGGGGGGATGGTCACGCCGCAATCCCTTCTCCTCCATTCTCCTCTCGGGATCTTGGGCACGCACACACGCGCGCCCGGCGTGAGTTTTAAGCCACCGGGTCCGGGACTCAAACCTCAGCCATTCCACCAAGTGCTGGTCCCTTTTTTTTTTTTTTGGAGAGATTTTCCCTGTAGGGCGCGTGCGCTTGCCAGACAGAGAGAGAGAGACATAGAGACAGAAAGCGAGAAATCGCCCCCCAGGGGGGATGGTCACGCCGCAATCCCTTCTCCTCCATTCTCCTCTCGGGATCTTGGGCACGCACACACGCGCGCCCGGCGTGAGTTTTAAGCCACCGGGTCCGGGACTCAAACCTCAGCCATTCCACCAAGTGCTGGTCCCTTTTTTTTTTTTTTGGAGAGATTTTCCCTGTAGGGCGCGTGCGCTTGCCAGACAGAGAGAGAGAGACATAGAGACAGAAAGCGAGAAATCGCCCCCCAGGGGGGATGGTCACGCCGCAATCCCTTCTCCTCCATTCTCCTCTCGGGATCTTGGGCACGCACACACGCGCGCCCGGCGTGAGTTTTAAGCCACCGGGTCCGGGACTCAAACCTCAGCCATTCCACCAAGTGCTGGTCCCTTTTTTTTTTTTTTTTTTAAAGTTAATTTAATTAACTACAGCTAACATTTCAGTTCCTAGTTTGCACTAGCTACCTTTCCAGAATATAGTAGCTCCATGTGGCTGCTGACTGTGGTACTGGACAGCATAGTGTGGAGCCTCTCCATCATCACAGGAAACCCTACTGGACACCACTGATTGGATCACCAGTTCTTACCGCAAATGACAGTAGCTATAGAAGACATTAAAGTTTCCTGTGCCCATTTTGCCATAGTTGCAGATTTTTTTCTACTTCTGATAAAACGTTGAGTCCACTTATTGTCTTGCTCCTAAAAGTCAAATACCAAAATATAATCCTGTGTAGTCAAAGGCTGTGTGGATAGTTCACTGACGCTTGCTGTTACCGTTCATAATGTGCGACCTTCCATGATACCCTGTGATGAAATGGGGCGCATTCCCATTTGGGCATGGTCCTGGCAGGCTCCGTTCTGTCAGCCTTTGTCTATGATTCTTCTGTGATTTGGGTTTGATTTTGCGTTGCTTTGCTGTTTTGTCACCTTGATCAAGGCTAAAGGGGGAAAGTTCGTCAGACTGAGTCCGCTTTCCCTTTGGCCGTTTCCCCTTTTTTCACCCTCTACTTTCTCGTCCAACGTAGAGTCAATTCAAACCTGCAACTTAGCTTTCCTGTACTGAGATGAAACTTTGGGTATTGGGCGACTAACAAGTAGATCTTACTTGATGTGACCCATGTGACAAGGATTACCAATTCTCCTCCTCAGGTCCAGTGACTCTTTTTCCGGGTTTAATCATCCACTCTTACTCAATAACAGTGTGGTTTTTTGCTTTGAGCCCTGATGACTCTGGCCCAGACATCTGCCTGCTCAGCCATCGTCTCCCATGTTCTTCCCTGGGGAAGGACCTAATCCACCCTTCCCTCAGAACACACCTGACACTGCTTTTATGGGTTCTGCAGTTTGTCTCAGCTTGTGTAGAATTCACTTCCAGTTCTCTTTCTGCTACCTTTCTAAAAAGTTCCTGCACCCTGGAGCCAATCTCTTTCTCTTTATCCACCTCCTTATGTGAGACCCTTACGAACATGGTGGAAGGAATGCCTTTTGTGATTTCCTGGTCCTCACAGGCTTCCAATAAAACATTTGAAATATTTCCATGTCCACATTTACGTTTTAATTTAGAAACCATCTTTTTTTCCCCAACAAAAACTTTTTTCGGTTCATTCAGAAAGCATTGGCAAAATAAATTGCAGTTGCAGTTTCACATGTATCAAAAATAGAGGTGTTATGGGAACCAGCAGTTAGCGTAATGGCTATGTCGCTGGACGCCCACGTAGTCGACCACGGGTCCCGGCCCCCGGACCCGGTGGCTTAAAACTCACGCCAGGCACGTGTGCGTGCGTGCCCAAGGTCCCGAGAGGAGAATGGAGGAGAAGGGATTGCGGCGTGACCATCCCCCCTGGGGGGTAATTTCTCGCTTTCTGTCTCTCTGTCTCTGTCTGGCGAGTGCATGTGCCCTATAGTGAAAAAAAACCTCTCCAAAAAAATGTTTTAAAAGGGGTGTTATTTATAACAATAACTTACAGATATAAATTAATGATAAGCTTCAGTTTTATGGAAGATTGTAAACATTTTGCAGACTAGTCAGTCCTCTTTTTTAGGCAAAGTGCTCTTTTGATGACAGATACACACTATTGTAAACTATTTCAGACAATACCAAAAAAAGGTTTTGATTTGTTTTTCTCTTATAAACAAAAGTACATCATTTTTCATCCTTTTTTTTTTTTTTTTTTACTATAGAATCTATCTTTGTCTAGAAACTAGTACCATTTCGGAGCTCATAGCTCAAGGGATCTGGAACTGTGTTGTTCAAGATGGTGGCCACTAGCTACATATAGATATTCACATTTAAATAAGTTAAAATCAAATAACATTAAAAATTAGTTTCTTGGGGCCAGCAGGTGGTGTAATGGCTGTGTCACTGGATTCCCATGTAGTTGACTGCAATTCAAGTCCCAGATCTGGTGGCTTAAATTCACACCGGGCTCATGTGCGTGCATGCCCAAGATCCCAAGAGGAGAACAGAGGAGAAGGGATTGCGGCATGGCCATCCCCCCTTGGGGGGGGGTGATTTCTCGTCTCTTTGTCTCTCTTTCTGTCTGGCAAGTGCATGCGTCCTATAGCAAAAAAAAAAAAAAAAGAAAAAATCAGTTTTTTGTTTGCACCAACCATGTGTCATGAGCTCAGGAGTTTCATGTGGCTGGCAGGTTCTATATCAGACAGCACAGATATTGACAGGTCTGTCACTGGACAAAGTCCTATTGGATAGCACTACCGTAGGACTTTCTGTCCCAGTCTGTTCCCCAAGCATATGAGGTTAGATTGGCACAGTTATCAAAATAATTGTTTTTCGTTCCCCTCAAAATCATTTTTGAAGCCACTTTTTTCCAAATTCTCAAAAGCCTCACTGTTTATCATTTGTCATTTTCATCAAATTGAACAAGTTACCATGTAATAACATGTCCCTTCTCGCACTCGAAATGATTATGGAGTGAGATTGGAGTCACAAAGTGCAGCTCAGACTCTTAAGTGTTTTAAATGCTTTAATTAGAACTTCTCAGAACCAACTAGGAGTTATTTGGTTTTGTTTTCCTACACTATTAAACTGACATTTACGAAGCACTTTCTGTGTGTTCCCTAAATATATAGTTGTAGAGACTTAATATTTAATACTTCTAATACCCTACTAAGAGAGAAACTACTACAATTAAAACCATTTTGCAAGTGAAGAAACAAGTTGAGAGAGGTTAGGTAACCTCCCCTAGGTTATATAGCGAAGGCTGGTCTTATACTGAGTTAGGACGAGTTAGCCTCAGAGTAATTGTTCCAAGCACCTGCAAAACCTAAGTCTGGCTGGAAGAAGAAGCTGAGGGCCTGGGTAATTATCAGCCTCCTAAGTTTAGGGAGAGGATCAGACCAGTTGCTTTCCAGAGGAAATAGTAAACATTTCAGGATTAAGTTCATGATGTCTATATAAATTTGCTCTTTTTATACTTGTTATCTTTATGTTGTATAAGGTCAAAGTGCTGTAAATGATCATAAGAAATTTAAATTCACCGTTTCTGTTGACTTAGTGGTCTGTAAAAGAATCGTTGTGAAAATATGGATTCTTCTTTCCTTCTAGTACTCCCCCAGCATGACAATGAGTGTGTGATCCATTACCAAGTCTCCTCATGAAAACCACAGTGAGTCGGCCCTTCACAGAACTACTACGGAAGAAAATTACTCATCGCAGTGTACAGTTCAACAAAGGAATCTCAGTCACACCAAACCAACCTTTTGATTTCCTGCTCTCTCCCCTATTTTGTGAAGAAAGCGGGTCCAAACGTGATTCAAACAACTGTACGGAGTGGCATATTAGGATTGCCCTAAACTGAACTGCAAATAATTATCTGTGTATGTATATGTGTGGGAAAGAGAATGTATTGTATATGTGTATGTTATACGGACATATGCACATACATGCATTGACCCACAGGACATTGTAAAATATTATCACATGACATCTTAAGTAGAAATAAGTAGGGACTTTTATTCCATCCTTTTTTTTTTCACGTTTACATTTTAATTATTAAAAGTTGCTCCTGCCCCCTCCCTGAACTATTTTGTGCTGTGTATATCACTGCTTTATATAAGTTATTTTTTAAGGTGAACTCAGATGTTATGGTTTTGTAAATGTCTGCAATCATGGATAGGAATAAAATCGCTTATTTGAGAGCTTTCATTAAATTGCGTCTGATGCAAGTTATCCTGTGAATCACAAAGTATACTGTCTCAAAAAATAGAAGAGTGTGTCTTCATCTTTATGTCAAATATTTCTCAATTACCTTCAGTGAGAAGTATTTTTGTACTTTTTATTTGAGAAAAACACTTCAACAGAAGCTTAACTGGGGCCTCACACAGTATATTCTGCAATAACCGCTTTTAGTGGAGTTCTTGATTTGTCCGTCTTAGGTGATCAGAAATCGTTAATTAGTCCAAATTACTTAGACCATAGCAATAAAGTGACAGGGGTTGTCATATTTTTAGCAACATGTTTTCTCTTCAATGGGAACTGGGAACAAAACCATTGGCTTGAATTTGTCACTTCTCACCAGGAATAGAAAAGTAAAACTTTGATAGCGTGTTCATGTGAACGGTATCTGATCTTCATTCAGGCTTCCTATAAATATATCTACATAGACATTGCAAGCAGTTACGTTGGGCTGATTCAGACTTTCAGCACGGGGGAGGAAAAAGTGGTCACAGTAACCTCGAGGGCCTATGAGGTGCTGCCTCTCTGCGCAGTGCCCTGCGTGCTTGCAGAATTGACGGGTGTCCGTCCCTCCTGTAAACACCTCCTCCAGACAGCAGAATGCCCAGTCTGTTCTTGCAGTGTAGGGCTTTTATTCACCAGCCAATGTAATGCAGCAATTTTGCCTCATCTGGCCATTGACTTCAGTAGCTAAATTAACATTATATAATTTGACTGTTCAGAAAAGAGTAAGTAAATGTTTTTTTAGAAACATTCACTTCCCCTATGAAAGCACCTTGCTCTATGGCACTTTCCAGATATTTTGGGGTTTTGTCATTAATTATATACAAACATGAAAATCATAATAGTAAAGTATGAAGATTTTATTTTAGACTGTAAAAAGTAGCTTGGTGAGCCTTCATGTTAAAATTGTGAAACAAATAACCATTGATGAACACCAACTCTATATTCAAGCTCCAGAGACTTCAGAAAGCATTGTTTAATCTCAGGTAAGAAGCATATTGTCTTTCCTTTAGGCTCATGGTCTCTAAAGTAAATATTTGGCAGTCTGTGTGTTAGTTCCTGGTCCCAGATGACTGACTTCCCTCAAATCCATAATGATTTATTCCTTCTGAAAATAAAGATTTTTGCCTATTCATGACAGGGATACTGTGCAGAGCTGTCGGGGGGGGGGGCAGCAGAGAGGGAGGAGATATAAATTTAGGTTGTAAATCAATTTAAACTCATAAAACTAGTCACACTCCTACTCAGTGTTCAGGAGTCTAGGGCCACATGTTAGAGAGGAGCCTCATGCTCCCAAACTGCAGAGAACCCTCATGAAAAATTCAGATTAGAGGTCTTTATCTCAAGCCAAGTCAAGAGGATATTTCGTACAGGCACCTGGATTTACGAAGAATTTTAAATTTTAGTTTATATGAGAGTTGTACAAAAATTGACAGTTAGTAAGCTTAATCCTATAATGCTAGAATTTTAAACATTTTGTTGACTCAGTTCTCCATTGTTACTGATCTTGAATTTCATTTGTCTTCTAAGAAGATATTGTTTCTTTTCACAAAGAATCATAAACCTGATTTTACTTCAAATCCTGAACCCAGTGGCGTGAAAAATCACAACAAATAAATAAATATTCTTTAAAATAATAGCTATTCATATAAAAAAAAAGTCCTGAAATAGTTGCAAAAAAATTTTACACAGAAATTGTCCTAAAGAGAGCCAAAATATTAAGAATTCTCTATTTGTATATTCGAATACTTTTCTCATGCACTGAATAGAGCGTAGCATATTGATATATTAATTTTTAAGTTTTAACTTAAACCTTATCCTTTCTTCTTGTAATAAGACCATTTCTTTCTTTCCTTGTTTTTTTCTTTTTTTCTTTTTTTTCTTTAAAGGTTTTTGCTATAGGGCATGTGCATTCGCTGGAGAGAGACAGAAAGAGACAGTGACAAGGGAAAGTGAGAAATCACCACTCCGAGGGGGGGGGGATGATGTAGATGTTGATAAGAAACTGAATTGGCATTATTTATTTCACCAGGGGAAATAATTGCGGTTTTCATGATTATTACTTTTAATTAGAAGCAGGGCCACAAATCATAGCTACTTTGGAATGCATTATAGTATCTTGACACTGCTTTTCTCTTTTTTTCATGTTTTGTACACTATAATTCTTTTTCCTTCTCCTCCACTCTCCTCCCAGGATTTCAGGCATGCACACACACACACACACACCCAGTGTGATTCTTAAGCCTCCAGGTCTAGGACTCGAACTGCAGTCGGCCATGTGGGAGTCCAGCACCTTCACCACTATGCCACCTGCTGGCCCCTCACCTTTCTCTTTTATATTTCCCATCTCCATCAATGCAATTGTGTTGATCTTGATAACTACTACCTGCTGCTAGAGTTATTTTTTTAGATTTCATATCACAGTAACAATATTGGCAGTTCTTACCTACGGTGAACATATGAAATACATATCAAAAATGCAAAAATAAGTAATAAATGAAAACATTGCTTTTGTTACCCTGCTTTGCATTCTAACTCAGTACAGTTGAAAAGGCATGTCAGATTATTTCTAAGGTATATACAATTCTTAATCCGCTGTCTTACAGCAAAGGTGACCATGGGAACAAAGGTTATGGGATGCCATTGATCAGGTAATAACACAACATATTTGATGAGTGATTCTTAGCATTCCTTTAAAAATGCTTCAATTTGGTCTCAGTTGCTAGTTATTAGGATCTCACAGCTAGGAATCTGAGGTTAGATTTTAGTTATTGGCAGAAGATTAAGAAACCAAATCTGCTATCCCAGCCATGTGAAGTGCCCCAAATACCTCTTT